TAAAAAAGAATGATTATACTGTGCCTGGAGCTTGTCTATGAATGATAATAAATGTTTGTATTCCTTAAGCAAGTTTGGGTCATGATTTCTGTTACTTGTAGCTTAAAGCACCTACCTGATACCACAGCAGGGTAAAAGAAAATAATCATGATTGTCATGACGATCTAAAATAGGGGTCATCTAACTTTTTCTGTAAAGGGATAGATAGTAAGTGTTTCAGGCCTTGGAGGCCATTTGTCTCTGTCACAACTGTTCAACTCTACCATTGTATGTGAAATCAACCATAGACAACATGTAAATTAATGAGTATGGTTATGTCCCAATAAAACTTTATTTGTGGACACTAAAATTTGAATTTCATATAGTTTTCACATGTCAAGAAATATTATTCTTATTTTTATTTTCTCCCATCTTTTAAAAAAAAAAAACATTCTTAGATCATAGCCCTCCCAAAAAACATAGTGAACCACATTTGACCTGTAAGCCATAGCTTGCCAACACCTAGTTTAAAACAAAACCTTGGTAGAATTGAACACAAATTCCTTGGAGGTTGAGGGAAAAACGAGTAAACTAGAATAGAAAAAACTCTCATAACTTGAAGAAGTTTATCTACCAGGAAACCACAGCAAACATCACTTATTGAATGAAACATAACAAACATTTCTTACTAACATCAGTAAGAAAACATGAATGTCTGTCACCTCTTCTATTCAACAATGTACTGACAATAAATGTCAGAAAGGAACAGAAGTAACAGTACCTGGTTATTTGATCATTCTCTTAGGAAAAAACGAAGAGGCTAAATCTAAAAATTTAGATGGTGACCTAACACAAGCTTAACATACAATAGTTAATAGTTTTCCTAATAATAACAATAGATAGACAACATAATTAACATTGTATGGTATCTCTATATAAAGAGTGTGCATATGTTTCATTATATTTAATCCTAGAAATTTAGTACTTTTGACCTATTATAAATGTATCTTTTAGAATCATTACTATGTAAAACATGCATTATGTTTAGAAATGTGCACAAAACTTAAAAGAACCACTCAATGAGCAATCAAAAACATTGGGTAACACAATAGTTAAAGATAAGTAAAACAAATGATGTGTAAGATACACACATACATACACAGACACACACACATATACCCTGTTCAGATTTTCGTTGGAATTGTGTTGCTTCTATATGTCTGTTTAGTCTTTAAATTGTGGGTTGTGTGTGTGTGTGTGTGTGTGTGTGTGTGTGTGTATTTTGACAATATGATTCTAAAATTTCTAAGGAAATTCAAAAGGTCAAAAATAATCAAGACATTTTTTATTTTAGTTTTTTTATCAGTTTCAGGTGTACAAAACAACGTAATAATTAGACATTTATGCCCCTCACAAAGTGATAACCCTTCTCCCAGTCTACTACCGCTGTGACATTGTATATAGCTGTTACTATACCATTGACTATATTCCCTATACTATACTTTAAATCTTGTGAATATGAATATATATTTGAAATTCTACTTCAGCTTCAGGTGTACTGCACAGTGGTCATGCATATACCCAATCTATGAAGTAGTCCCCCTGATAAATGCAGTACCCATCTGGTACCCTACATAATCTATAAAACATTACTGAGTATACTCCTTATACTGTATTTCACATCCCCATAACTATTTTGTGACTACCAATTTGTATTTCCTAATCCCTTCACCTTTCTCCCCCATCCCCCAAACCCCCTCCCATCTAGCCACCATCAGTTTTTTCTCTGTATCTCTGAGTCTATTTCTGTTTTCTTTGCTCGTTTATTCTGTTCTTTAGATTCCACATATAAATGAGATCATAAGGTATTTGTCTTTCTCAGTCTGATTTAGTTCACTTAACATAATATTGTCTAGGTCCATCCATATTGTTGCAAATGGTAAGATTTCATTCTTTCCTATGGCAGCCTAATACTCCATTGTATAAATGTACCATGATTTCTTTATCCAATCATCTATTGTTGGGCATTTCAGTTGTTTCCATATCGTGGCTTTTGTGAATAGCACTGCAATAAACATAGGGGTATATGAATCTTTTTAAATTAATGCCTTCAGATGTCTTTGGATAAATACAAAGGAGTGGAATTGCTGGATAATAAGGTAGTTTTATTTTTAATTTTTTAAGGAACTTCCATACTGTTTTCCATAGTGGCTGCACTAATCTACAGTCCCACCAACAGAGCATGAGGGTTCCATTTTCTTCACATGCTTGCCAACACTTGTTGTTTGTTGATTTATTGACAATAGGCACTCTGACCGGAATGAGGTGGTATCTCTTTATGGTTTTTATTTGATCAGTGATATTGAGCATTTTTTCATATGTCTATTGGCCACCTGTATGTCCTCTTTAGAGAAATGTCTATTCATGTCTTCTGCCCATTTTTTAATTGGGTTGTTTGGTTTTTTAGGTGTTGAGTTGTATGACTTTTTAAAATAAATTTTGGATATCAATCCCTTCTCAGATGGATCATTGGCAACTATCTTCTCCTATTCAGTAAGATGTATTTTTGTTTTATTGATGGTTACCTTTGCTGTAAAAAAATATTTTTAGTTTTATGTGATCTCATATGTTTATTTTTTCCTTTGCTTGCCTTGCCTGAGGAAATATATCAGTAAAAATATTATGAAGGGTAATTTCTATGAGTTTACTTCCTATATTTTCTTCTAGGAGTTTTATGGTTTCAGGTCTTGCATTTAGGTCTTCAATCCATTTTGAGTTTATTCTTGTATGTGGCATAAGAAGGTGGTCCAGTTTCATTGTTTTGCATGTATCTGTCTAATTTTCTCAGCACCATTTATTAAATTGTCTGTCTTTATCCCAATGTAAATTCTTGCTTCCTTTGTCATAGATCAAATGACGATATAGCATGAAATTATTTCTGGGCTCTCTATACTTTTCCATTGATCTATGTGTCTGCTTTTACATGCTGTTTTGATTACTATAGCCTTGTAGTGTAATTTGATATCAGGTAGTGTGATACCTCCCACTTTGTTCTTATTTCTTAAGATTGCCATGGCTATTTGGGGTTTTTTATGGTTCCATATATATTTTAGGATTATTTGTTGTAGTTCTGTGAAAAATGTCATTGGTATTTTGATAAGGATTGAGTTGAATCTATATATTGTTTTGGGCAGTATGGACATTTTAACTATATTAATTCTTTCTCTCCATGAGCATGATATATGTTTCCATTTATTTGTATCTTCT